CTCAGCTGGCAGGCTGTCAGCTCCAGCGGCTTTGTTGTTTTTCAGCCGCGTTATTGCTATACGTACCTCGTCATAGTCAGGCGGTGGGACGTCGACTACGTCATCACAGACTGCGGGCTCGGGTTCTTCTTCTCCACAACTTTCCGTGCTGCTACCATTTAGTAGGGCGGAAAAGTGTTCCCGCCATAATATAAGTACGCTCTGGACATCAGTTACTAGGTCGCCATTATTGTTCTTACAGGAGTGCGCCCGGTCTTTAAACCTTCCGTAAGTAGCCTAGGTTAGGTTAGAGTGGCTGCCCCGCGCAGAACGCGGAGCACACGTGGGCTGGAAAAGCCCGTTGTGATACCACTGGCCGAAGCCTTTTGTTTCTTTCCCTCCCTTAGTAATTGAACCACACGTTCCACCTTGGCTCTGGATACGGTGTTGTTTAGAGCAGGCCACCATACGGTGACCCCGTAGAAAAGGATGGGTCTTATCACAGCTGTGTACATCCAGTGTACTATATGTGGTTTTATTCCTAATTTTTTGCCTATAGCCGTTTTGCAGGCATACAGGGCAGTATTGGCCTTCCTGGAGCGGTCTTCAGTGTTTCGCTTCCAGTTCAGCTTCATGTCCAGAATAACACCAAGGTATTTCACCTCGGTTGAGAGAGTGAGTGCCACCCCGTTTAGGGCGGGAGGTTTAAATAAGGGAGTTTTATACTTCCTTGTGAAAAGTACCATTTCTGTGTTGGCAGGATTGACACTAAGTCCACATTCCTTGGACCAGATGTTTACCAGACCGAGTGCGTTTTGCAAAAACTCACTCAGGACCTGAAGATGTTTGCCCGTTGCAAAGATTGCTATGTCATCGGCGTACGCTATGACTTGACAACCGGTGCTCTTTAGGCTTAGAAGTATGGTGTTCACTGTTAGATTCCAGAGTAGAGGGGAGAGAACGCCCCCTTGGGGGGTGCCCCTGGTCACATACTTTGTAATGGAACCATCCCCTAGTTCTGATAGAATAGTTCTCTTTCCGAGAAGGAGCTCAACAAAATCCACCAGACCTCGCTGCACCCCCGCCATAAGAAGGGAGTTAACAACAGACTTCGGGTAGACGTTGTTGAAAGCACCCTCGATATCGAGAAAAACTCCGAGCGTGTATTCCTTTAAGGCCAATCCTTTTTAAATCGTCGCTACGATTTCATGGAGTGCGGTCTCCACGGATTTCCCCTTGGAATATGCATGCTGATTCGAGGAGAGGTTGTCAGCTTTAATATTCCGTCGAATATGTTCGTCGATGAGCCTCTCTAGAGTTTTGAGGAAGAACGAGGTGAGGCTTATAGGCCTGAAATCCTTCGGTTTCACATGAGCGGCCTTGCCTCCTTTTGGTACGAATACAACCTTTGCCTTTGTCCACTCGTGTGGTATGTGAGTCAGAGTTAGGCAGGCTGTAAAAATCTGAGAAAGCATGGGACACAGTATGTCCTTAGCTTCCTGTAGTTGAGCGGGAAAGATTCCGTCAAGGCCAGAAGATTTGTAGGGCTGAAAGGACATTAAAGCCCATTCCACCCTCTCCTCACTTACGATGTCCCCAACGGTATCACCCAGAGACAAGTAGGTCCTAGGACCGGGCGAAAAATCGGGGGTGTCATCTGAGCAGCCCGGGAAGTGAGTGCTCATAAGGACTTCCAGCATTTCGCTACATGATGTCGTCCAGTCACCGTTAGGCTTCTGGATAGAGTTCATACTTGAAGAGGATTTTGAGAGAACTTTCCTCAGCCTGTTGGCTTCAGAGTTCTCTTCTATGTTGTCGCAGAAGTTTTGCCAAGATTCGCGTTTCGCCCTCTTTATGGCCGAAATCTCAGGATTTCACCACTGGGGTTTCTCTTTGCCCTTCGGGAGGGTGCTTGGGCAGGAGGCTTTGAAAGCAGCATTACAGGCATTTGTCACAAAGTTCACTGCTTCATCAATTTTTGACGATGAGTCCAGCTCACCGAGAGAAACAACCTTCGTATTCGAGAGACTCGCTTCATCAGATCTTAACGATAAGCAGGACTTATCGTGAGAAGCGTATCTGTGTAGAGAGACCGACAGCGTATTTTTATACTTTGCTCAGTCGGTTCGCTTCTTGTTCCTGTATGCTGTTAAAGGAGCAGGATCAAAATTGAGCTTAAAGCTAATGTAGAGATGGTCAGAGACAGAGTGTTCTTTGGACACCTGCCAGTCCCTTATCTGATCAGACAAACCACTCGAAACAAGGGTGATGTCCAGCACTTCGCTTCTAACAGAGGTCACAAAAGAGGTCACTCACCCCGGGAGTTGGTGTCACTTGTGCCCCAGATCGTGTTATGCGAGTTAGAGTCTGCCCCTATTATGACCGGGAGTTTCCTGCGATTTGCTTCCTTCACAGCTTCTTCCAGTCTGTAGGGTGGAAAAACATGGCTGTCGTGGGCCATGTAGGATGTTGCCAGCCAGATCACGCTCTCCTTCAGCTGGACGCTGATGCAGACAGTGTCCTCGTCGCTGTATTGGGAGAATAAAAAATAAGAATATACTTTTTTAATCAGAATGCAAGCTCTGATCCTACCTGCTACTGGAGCTGTTACAACCTGGTAGGCATCAGAGTTCAGTCCGCAAACCTTGTTTCTAACGACCCAAGGCTCTTGGACTAGAATCAAGTCCTCAGCTTTATTGCTGAGGCGAAGAAGAAGGGCAGCCGAGGCTGCCTTGGAATGGTGCAGATTAATTTGTAGGATCTGCACCATCCTCAGAGTCGGTGATGTCCATCGCTTCTAGCTCCTCCCGTTCGGCGGCGGCAATGACTGTGATGTCATTAACCTCCTCCTCGGGTTCTGAGTCCAGAAGCTGGTCCTCGTTCAGCATTGCCCACCGGCTGTATACCGACCCTACGTAGGCAGATACTGAGCTCGTGTCGCTCTCAGTATCTGACGCGGTTTCGGGTACACCCGTTGGTAGGTCCCCAGGTCCACTCGTGGTGTTTCCTGTGGACCCCGCGCTGTCTGCCACCGATGCCGACTCGTAGGCGCCAGGTCCGCTCGAGGCGTTGCCTGTGTTGTTGGCCCCTTCGTCGGTTGAGTTATCGGGAGGAGTGGGTCCGCTCGAGGCGTTGCCAGCCTCCTCCCCTTGTTGGTCCGTTTTCCGGTGGATTTTCACCGTGATGGAGTAAAAGCCGTAGCTTGTTACCCCACCACAACCCTCGAGAACTGGGACGGAAGCATCGTTGATGACAAAGACAACAAAACGCTGCATCCCCACCGGCCTCGACTTTCCCTCGAGGGGTATAGTTTTGCCGGTATCGCTGGAAGTATGCCTTCCCTCTGGGGGCTTAGCATTCCCTCCAGATTCTGCGGAGGGCCGAATCTGTTTGGGCCGTGTAGGCCCTGTCTTCGGCGCCGTCGATGCGGTTCCCGAGATGGTGGGTTTATTGGACTTAACTTCGCCGTGTCCAGCGGCGGCACTACCCGTGCAGGGTTCCGAGGCTTTTTTTGCTTTATTCATCATTACTGGTTCTTTGGCCGCCTACTAAGCAGAAGCCTTTCGGCGGCCGGAAAAAGGGAAAGGGGAAAAAAACGGTCGACCACGGCAGAGCCCCATGCCGCAGCAAGTCCACCGTTACTCCCGGAGGCGGACAGGTATCCGAGAGGGGCCGTTAGAATACAGTCGGAAAACCCCCTGACTGCAAACCGTCCAATGGGCACGGTGACGCATGACACCCTGGATTAGGGGGGGCGTTTTATACCTACCGCCAAGTACCCCCTAGAAATGGCCTCAGTATGCCCACTCCCAGCTTCCCCAGTGCGAGCCCATCCGGCCCGCCACCGGCCGCGGCAGGAGAGTTTATACTTCGGCGTCAGCTAGGCCCCGCCTGCTTGCACCACTTCGGCAGAAGGGCAAGCCCATCCCGCCGCAGCGGTGCAAGCAGCGATGCCCATTGCCCAGTCGGCACCCGCTTGGAGGGTATATCAAGGAGGATTTTCGCCAACCCGTAAGTAGCCTAACTCTCTTGTAAAATTTTCGGGCATTCCTCCTGTCGGCCAGCATTTCAAGCTCTTCGCACTCACGTATTTCGGCCTCTCTCTTCTTGTTG